ACTCCATCTGACCTGGCTGGGAACTGGAGGCTGTAAGTGTCTGGTCGAGTCCGGAAAATATATCTCGTCTTACTATGCAAAATTTCAAGTGGAGATTTGAACATTACCAAGGAGAGCTGCAACATTGTTTGGAGTGGTGAGAGCCTGCTGGCACAGTCTATGGAGCAGCTGCCGCTGTACGTGCATTAAACTAACTTTATCTCAACTTAATGGCTATTAGCCTCACCTAAAAGGAATTAGCGTTTCACACTTTTTATATGAACTGCAATTAGCCTTTTGATGTCATTACCACTCTATGTGTCTCTTTAACCAGGCTAACCTTGAGCTGGCAGTGTTTGGCTATATTTAAGCTACTCATTAGCAAATTTGTATCCAATACGCTCAAGTTGTGAGCTTTCCGAACCTGTCTCCTGCCAGTGCACCAATGCATTCAGCTACGGGGATACATCTTATCGCAGAAGTCTTTAGTACTGGACTTGTACTCTCTATAAAATCCAATTAGGGTTCCAGTCTAGCTTTCATTAATCAGATGTGACTGATCTCTTAGCTACTTTTTGGTCCAAGTTTGGTTTTCAAGGACCACACTATTAACACGATAGGGGAGTCAGTGATTTAATCATTAATTTTGAGATCTGGTTTCCCACCTTGGGAGAGGTAATTTTGTTGTATTTAGTTTTACCTTATTATTTAATAAATTTACCTTCTCTTTGTCCCCAGTCACCCACTGTAGATTGTTTTGTAAAGGGCCTACATGCTCGGACCTGACGTTTTTACTAAAATGATGATAGATAGATAGAACAATCAATGCCAAGTAGAGAAGAGAAATGCACTTGCATAAGCATATACATAGATCAACTGTATCAGGAAGCACCACTGCACTCATATCCAGTATGCCCGCCAAAGAGCAGATATGATGTTACCAGACTTTCCTGCCCAACACGTAAAGGGCATCTTTAGGAGGAGGAGTCTTCAGGACTCACTTCTGAAGATGTCCTTTACGAGGGGTGAAACATGTTGCGTGGGAACTTCCGGTGACACCATATCCGCTCTTTGGAGCGTACGCTGGATACAAGTACAGCAGCACTTTCTGATACAGGAAATCTACATGCAAGCTTATGTAAGTGCATTGCCTTTTACTTCTTTTATTCAATAAATGGTATTTCGCTATGGCAAGCTTTCTCTTCTCTCCTTGGCATCGAATGTTCCATCTTATATTTGGGATGTGTAATGAACAATTAACATTACATATGAAACAACGTTGAAGTCTGTCCCTGGGTGCAATTAAAGCTCCTTTGATTCAATAGCATCTGGCGAGTGTGGGGGAAGTTTGGGGTCACTTGGATTGCTCGCATGAGAATCTCACCTCAGCTATTGGAGAAATTCTTACACAAATTCTGAATTTTTGTAATAGTACAAGCAGTTTGTTGGTGACAGAGCTGCACCCCCTGTAGGGTTTTTGTTTTGTTTAGTTTTCAACGTGCTTTGGCACTTTGTGGCAGAAGCTGGGTCTACTTATTTAAATTATTCTGTAGCGCAGGTATGTATTCATACTTTATTTCTTTTGAGCTGAAGCCAAAGCTTCGGCATTACAGCCAGGAAACTGGCATACTCCCGTGCCCCCCCCCCCCAAAAAAAAGCGTTTGAGTTTAAAAATTGATTAAAACTGCTTGCACTGTAGATATATACACACTAGAACTGTTAAAGTAAAACTAATGGCTGTCCTGGAGGTGGCGCACTCTGGTTGCTTCGAAACTTGCTTTACCGGGGTGTTCAGGCTCCATTCTCAGTCCGTACTTTATCCACAAAGGCCATCCTTAAGGCCTGACGATTAAAGTGTTACTATACCCACAACAAAATCAGTCTATATGCAGTAAAGCATGCTGGTTATACTCACTGTGGAACCGGAGGGATTAATCCTATGCATTGTTTAAAACCGCTGTTTGATCCTGACTTCTCTGACCCTCCCCTTCTTTCAGTGTCTATCCCCCCCCCCCCCCCCCCTGATAAGACATATTGTGTGGAGTCACTCTGCACATGCTTAGTTTGGTGTGATAGTTTTTTTTTTTTCTTGGGAGAGTGCATGTGATCAGCACAGGGCCAAACAGCACTGTTCAGACAGAGATCATGGGGTCCTGCATCTTCCTAGAGCAGAATGAAAACTCCTCCTACAAGCTTTAACCAGTGCTCAGCTGGACACTGATAGAAGTCCCAAGACTGTTCTAACTGCTGATGAGAAAAAGTATTTAGCAGTTTATATTTACTAAAATAATTGCATTTCCATGGTCTGTGTACTGTAGAAGACCAGATATAGTGAATGCAGGGTCCTGGGTTTAGTAACACTCTAACTATGCTTAAACGTTCTTCCACCTCTGACTTTTGGTCTCCATGTACTCCACTATGGTATAACCCTTCACTCCCAGAATTTCAAAAATCCTAGATCTCTCGATTTGGGCCTTGAAAGGAAACAAATATTTGGAAAATATTTGCAAAAGAGGCTCCTTACTTACCTTTGTTCACTTGAAACACTATGGTCTCTCAAATTCCCACTCCTTTAGATTTTTGCAACTCCGCCTTGCCTTTTGGTCTCAATTTGGTCCTGATGCGCTACATTTGATCCCAGATGACTTGGAATCACTTTTGCGCGATTCCTCTCTAAATTGCTATCAGTCATTTATAAAGCACTTTTGCCCTCCATTCATACGAACTTTGGCCCATTCAGATTGAAAAGTCATAGAACTTGATGGGGAAAATTGGGAAGATATTTGGGATTACCCACTTTTTGCAGTTGGTAGCAACAAGAGATAGACTAATACAATTAAGTTTTTTTGTATGGTTTATTTCATCCACTATAGACTACATAGAATATATCCCAGTGTCCCCTCTATGTTGGCGATGTGCCGGTACTTAAGCTGACTTCTTCCATATCTTTTGCTATTGTCCCCATATTGTCTCCTGGGTTTAGTACATGGCTTGGCATTCACTAGGGCAACTAGGACTCTGATTGTCTATTGCTCTTCTATGCCAGGAAAATTGGATGTCTGCTACACCCCCATCACTTCATAGCTGGAAGGCCCTGGTGAATTCAGTTGTTCCCCTCTATAAAACTAACCTACATCTCCAGAGGGTGCCCAAAAAACGGTTCATAAGATATGGGATATATGGCATGAATCTTTGTCCACCACTAATGCAAGTCCCAATCAAGTGGTACGGTGAACCCCCTAGTGGCCATTGGCCATGGTTATTGGAGGGAGTGTTTCAGTGATCTTTATTTCCTAATTGAGACTATAGTAGTGCTCATGTCATTTGTTTTTTTGTACTCTATGGTTGTCTGATTGTAAGGGACATGCTAAGCTCTGCCGTTTAGTAGTTATCCAAGCTATATGAATCCAGTGATGACTCGAGAGTCCCTTCCAAATTCATATACTCCTTATGTCTTCTCTTGCTGCTGGCGCAAATGACTTTTGACTGCTCTGCTATCATTTTTACCTCTTGTGGGAGGTTGCTGAGCTACTGTAAATGTTTCATATTGTTACCGGTTGTTGTGCACTAAGCCAGGGAATGCCCAGAGGCTCGTTTTTTTTTAATTTACTATGCAAATTCAAATAAAAAAAGGGGAAAAAAAAGGGTCGAATTAAAAAGGCAATAATTGCCACCCCCCCAGTTTTGAATAGAGTGGAGATGGATTAGAACGCCTGTCAAGTTTGTGCCCCCATTAGGGAGATGTCTTGTTTACCATTAACACTGAAAGTGACAGTAAAAGAAAATCCCAAATATTTCAGTTGTCCCCGGTAAAGTAAGAGAGAGGGAAATCTTCCAATTGGGACATTTGTTTTTGTGACCTGGGGGTCCTCAAGAAATTACATTTGCAGGGATATCCTCTCACTTCCTGTTTCGCTATGGGATAGGAAGTGAAGGGAAATCTCCACAATGGGACAAAGAAAAAAAAAAAAATCTGACAGGCGTTATAACCTTCACTTGCTCTACAAAAGTTTTGCCTATACTTTAATATACTGTAAATGCACCACTTGTTACTTCCCTTTCTCTTAAAACAAATTGGTACCAAATAAGCTTGTTCACTTTATACATGAGAACACAGAAAAGAAAACAAAAAACACCATCTAGTCAAACACAAAACTAAATAATTGTGATGGCCATGATAACTTCAACAAAACTGTGGGTTGCTGCTCAATATAATCACTATGTACTGAAAGCTTTCTCCCCCTTTAAAAATCAACAGTAGATTAGACAGGTTGTCTGACGATTATAGAATATGCTGCCTGTGCAGGTCAAAGCAACAGGTTAATTTAAGTGCCACACCTATCTCCTTAATCAGAAAAGATTTACTTTAAAAGGATAAGTTCACCTTTCATAACATATTACACCCATATTCGAGGTGTAACATTTAACACGTTATGAAAGAAAGCTCCTCTATTTTGATAGTTAGCAGGGCTTCTTTTCCTCCCGCCAGCTGTCAAAATTTTAAAACTGTATTCCGTGAAGGAGAAAACTACAAGTCCAGATAGCCTTAGCGGCTGTTGGCTTGTAGCTCTCAATGAACTACCACGGCACTGTGAGTGCTGTGGTAGTTCATTGATTCTGTTAAGTGTTTATCGTATGAGCAGACAGATATACTGACAGGTCTGCAAGAGTCCTGCATAGCACCAGGGATTTGTTGATCACTGGTGCAATGATTTACAGGCTCCTGCAACAGAAGATAACAAAGCACATTTTTTTTACCTGCAAAAAAAAAAAGTGCATTTATTATTTTTTGTCAAAAGGTGAACTTAAACTTTACAGTACAATTGTCAATCCCCGTGACCCGTGTAGCAAACCTTAAAAATGGCACCTACTCCTAAACTTGTGTTTGATATGCTAAGCACTATGTTTTATGTAAAAAATAGAGCAAGGTTTAAATGAAATTTGATTCTACATGGCACATATGATAGTCATTTAAAAAAGTAACATATCTACATTCATCTTGAAGAGTGCAAGATTCTTACCATAACCATCATATCTGTAAGATGATGGGTGGTCTCCTAGAATTGCTTGCCGCTGACGTCCCTTGCCTCGATCTTAAAAAAAAAAAAAAAAACCCATCATGTAAATCACATAGTAATTACACAAACATGAAAACACCAGAAATGAGTTTGCATAATGTGAATCTGTTGTTACCTTAAGGTAACAACACCAGAACAAAGGGTTTTCCTATATCAATTACTCACCCTCCCTCCTCCCATGTCACCAGTCTTTGCTCTCTCTACATGCACTGAGTCCAATAGTGATGTAGGGACCAACACAAAGAACCATCAGATAGGACCATATATCGGACACTCAGAAATGTTGTATGATGCGGATTCTACATTAAGCTTTAGCTCTACAAAAGAACATAGACTGGTGGCACTGGTGGCCTTACAGGGGATTATGAATTCTTTTCTTTGCAGTGAACCTTTATTTATTTTTCAAACTGTGACAGTCAAGTACTAGTTAAAGTCAGAATACACTGAAAACAGACTCCTAGTTTCATATATTTAGCAAAGCACTCTATTATGGGAATTCTGTTCCCGAAGTTGGATTTCTGCTCTCCCTCCTATACCTCCATCACCCATCCCAGTAATGGACTGACAGTAAGGGCCCATTCAAACTAGAAACTGCACATCTACTGCGTGTTTTTCCTTTGCACATTTGCATGAATTTGATACATGTTTTTATGCACATTTGAATGCGATCAATGCATGTTGTTCTATCTGCATTTGTCCTGTGAGGTCACTTCCTTCTTTCTTTCCTTGGGCTTTTATGTGCACTGCAATGAGCTTAAGTACATTTGCGAGTTTGTGATGCGGAAAAACGCAGCATGCTCTATTTTTTGTGACTGCGCTGCACTGGTGTGAACTATGCCCATAGGATAGCCTGGATTTTGGACTGTCTATACAATTGGAGTGCAGTCAAAAATGCATCTAACTGCACCTGGTGTGAAAGGGCCTTTAAGCCTAAAAAATAGCTTGGGCTTATGGACTTCAGTGGGGTTCTGCACAATATATGAAACATCCTGTAGCTGCCTACTGATGCCTGCATTCAATTTATGCTTTACCAATTTGCCATTTTTAAGGTAAAACTGGCTTTAAATTCAGTAAAATATAGTTTACATGAATGCTCTACTTTATCAGGGTCTGTAATCCACAGTTCTGCACAACAAGGAGCACAATGATGACATACATTCAGTTGCATCTTTAAAAGTTATAGCAGTGAATCAACAGAAAATATGCTAGCAAGCAAATATGATGAGCACATTTAACTCTTAATTTAAAATGTGATGTTGTATGTATTTCACACTACAGTAACACAGATTTTTGTATATAAAAATGGAAGAAAAGTATTGTTTCACCTTTTAACAAAAGGCAAAGCTACAATCTGATTGGCTGTTCTAAAACACTTGCTTTTGCATCATTTTGTTAAAGTACATCAAAAAGTTTATAAACAAATAAAAAACACACGAAGATGAAGTCACTAAAACACAATATACATTCTGTGAAGCTGAAGAAGAGGTGAGACTACACTATAACAGTTTTTAGTTAAGGTTAGTATACAGTCTTTATTTTACATATAAAAAAACACATCACATGCGTATGTGCATTCATTGCATGCTAGGCTAACAAGAAAGCCCATCAATTTCTCTTTATCTGTTGACTGCTTCTGCTAGACAACAGTAGTCTCTCCTCCCAAGTCATTTAAGTTCACCCAAATTGGTGTGTGTCCATGTCCACCCTATTTAGGCATTTAACCACTTGAGTACAAGTCTGTAAAACCCTTTCATTACTGGGCCATTTTTCAGTAATCACAGTGGTGACAGCTAAACAGTTACTTGGCAAAAACAGTAACAAAAGTTAAATTTTCAAATTTTTTTTTTTTTAGGCAGAACGTTTGTTTGGTGGTATAGAATAACCACTGGATTTTTGTATTTGCTACTGTAGCAAAAAGACTAAAATTCTAGAAACAAAACATTCCCCAAACCTTTTATTATAAACCATTGCAAGTAAAAAAATGTCAGGACAGTACAAACTTTCCCCAACATCCTCAAAATGACCCCTTATTGCAAGGAAGGTAATCTTATTTTCTGCCATTTTGAAAAAAAATTCTGTATTGAGGTGATTAATACATAAAAGTTGACAGTGGTGCATTAGATACACCACATCATTATAGTTACATAGTTAGTCTGGCTGAAAAAAAAAGTTATAATCCTATACCCACAGTTGATCCAGAGGAAGGCAAAAAACCCCCCAGCAAAGCACGGTCCATCTTACTCATGCAGGGGAAAAAAAATTCCTTCCTGATACCCCGAAAGGCATTAAATTATAATGTACAGGTCATACACAAAAGGGAGGAGGCGAAGGGGTCACATACAGTGGGAGGATGGAGATGAGGGGGGTTAATGTGCAGGATAAGGGTGGTAAAGGCACTAAAAAAAACAAACAATCCCACAATCAATTAATTAAATCCCTAACCTTCAATCTGCTGCTGCCTTTGTTTTGCGGATATTTATTTATTCAGTTCAAAGTGAAAATCAATCACAGATGACCTGGCCACCCTTGTATTACATCTAAAATACCAATTATAAATGGCACATCAGAAATACACTTCTACAACTCTGACGTCTAAAAACGCTTGGTGGTTGTAAAGTAGGTGAAAAGCAACAGTAAACCAAATGTCTAAAACCTGATACCCTGGAGTGCTAGGCTAGCTACCTGGAAATTGATAAATATGAAATGTTTCATATGCAATATTTCATATTTACCCACATGCAAATTAAGAATAGGATATTTTCAAAAAAGATTTCTCCTCATTAAAAATCTATCTAGCCTGAGGTAACATTACAGGGTCAGATACACACACACACATACATACACATGAGTACGCATCAGGTTCTAACCAGCAGGTAATGTCGGGCTCACTATGTTTGTACCAATCCACTCAGTCTGCTGTGTTAGGGAGACACCTCCATGATAGCCATACAGGTAATAAGAAAATATTCAGTCACAGATTCCATATTTTTTTTTAAATGGTCTTTCAATCAGAAGCAAAACACTGAACACAAGAAAAAGATCAGTTTGGTCACAATCAGATTTTCCACCAAGTGCAATTTTTTTCTTTTTACTAAAAACTACTGTGTGTTGTCAGATTATCTATTTAGTGCAATGCAGTTCTAGAAGAAACAGTATTCTTCATCAAATTATTATAAATGAAGAGTTATAAAGTTACTTGTATGGCCAACAATAGTCTAGATCAGTGGTTGTCACCTTCTACTCCCAATGCCCACAGTCTGACCCCCCCCCCCCCCTTAAGTCTGAAGGACCATAAACTGGCCCTTTGCTTAGAAAGTTTGGAGACCCCTGTTCTAGACTCATGCTGCATGTGGCCACAGGTTGGGCAGCATGAGTCTAGAACAGGGGTCTCCAAAAGGCCAGTTTATGGTCCTTCCGACCTAAGGGGGGGGGGGGTCAGACTGTGGGTATTGGGAGTAGAAAAGGTCCCAATGTTCATAGAAATAAAAAATGCTGAATCTTTGGTGTTAATGGGAGGAAAAGTGCACCATTGTTGGGGTCATTGGGCCTCATTGTTGGTGTTATTTGGAGGAATTGTACACCATCTTTTGTGTCATTAGGAGTATCTCTGCCCCTTCATTAGTGTCAGTGGGGGGTGGGGGTGGGATTATGCCTCATTGTTGGTATCCGTGCATGAAAATAGTGCCTCAAGAGCTGGATAAAAGCAAACAAAAGGGCTGCATCTGGCTCCCGAGCTGCAGTTTGGAGACCACTGGTCTAGACTCTTGTCCTCCTATCTGGTTATCTACTAAAGATAAAAGTAATGCTCAAGCCTATCACCATGCAAATATATCTGGCACAATCAAAAACAAAAAAGAAAGGTTTATAGTATAACAATATTACAGACTACATCAAGTAGATTCAGATATCAAAATGTGTATTAAAACAGTACCTGAAATCAATTACAAGCTTCATCAGCAAGATATTTTCAAAGATGTCTCCTTTCAAGAGGTTTCAGCATAATCCAAAAACAACCTGTATTACATGGTTTCACAATTAACATTCTACATAAATGAACAGTGTTGGAATAGAATAGCTGGACAGAAAATGCATATAAAAATATAGCATACACACACACAAATATACATTTTATTATAACATTCTTTCACAACAATGGTATAAATTACAGTTACAATGTGGACTCAATCGGTATGTGTGTTTACAGCAAAGCAAGTGGGCCCTTTCTATTGGCAGGTGATCAGATCAAAACTTAAAAGAAAAACGAACTGTCACCCATATTAATCAAAATTTAGCTCCCAAAGCCAATCCACATAGCTTCAAGTTTTGGGGAGAAAAAAAAAAAAAAACCCCAAACAAAAACTAGGTCAGAAAATGTATGTGTCCTCTAGCTTTTTCTATAAAAATACTGCTACACAGACATCCGGTCTGACCGTAATGCAAGCCAGTCAAAGAGATAGTGGTCACAAACAGAAGATTAAAAAAAAAAGAAAAAAAAAAAAAAAAAAGGAAAAGAAGTTCTACTTACTGAGAACAGATGCTAATAAAACACGAGAGCTTCTAACTACTACTACCCACAAACAACACTTGTACTGTCATTTGAATACTAGAATAAATTGTGGAATATGTCAGTACAGCACAGAAGAATCCATTTGCATATTCCAGCTTATTAAATAAAAATACTGTCCTAGATTGTAAGCTCGAAAGAGTAGGGCCCTCTAACCCCTCGTGTGCGGTTTGTTGTTGCTGTATTGTTTCATGTATTGTCCCCCCCCCCCCCCTCTATTGTACAGCGCTGAGCAAACCCTTTGGCGCTATATAAACTCGATGTAATGTAATAGAGAGCCCTTACCAATGCAACCAGACAGTGGTCACTGGGACAGGAAGTAAAAAGTTCCTACCAAGAATACAGACACGCATAAAAACATGACAGCTTCTAACCACTCTACCCTCAAAACATTATTTTATATCTATGTAAATCAGGAGTTATACCTTCATGCTCTGTTACTGCAGCCACAGTTTGTCATTGTTATTCTGTAATGCTGCTTAGGGTAGCCATACACTGATTGATTTCTCTTGTTCGGCCAAATGATAGAAATCAGCCGATTCCCACATCTACGCTTAAAAGTGTGCATGGAAAAATCTCCACTGTCAGTTATACCCAAACAGTGATTATATCTAAAAGGATTGTTCAGCCGATAAAAGATTTTGGATATACGACTGTTCAGCTGCTCATTTTCCACCAGGCTTCTTTGATTTTCAATCAACTTTTGTTGAGTCGGGTGGGTCACCCTTGGCTCAAATGTTTGCATATTCGGCAGGGGCTAACTGCTTTCCTACTAGAGAACAACAGAAAGTTGATGTTGATAAAAATGGCCTACAAGAAATATCCTACAGCTTTTATAGGATACTCACATGGAGGTATATTCCCAAACATTGGCTAGGAGTACATCTACACATACATATCATTGCCTGCTACAATTCTGTACTATAGGAAACGTTTCAAGCTGGTGTGTTTTATACGCGTGTCCAATCCAAATGTCTAAATCCGGAGCATAAGAACTTTTTACAAACATTTTCCTAAATTAATCGAAAAGATGTTAAATATCCCTTTTTTCGCTTCCCAATTCAAGCTCTATAATGAATCTCTAATGTTATATTTTTAAAACATATACTATGGTATCTTACATTCAGAACAACTTGAAACTCTGTATAAATACAGTGGTATGAACTTGTAGCTATCCTGATTTTCCAAAATATTGGCCATATATGTTAGTATTATTCATACATAAGTACAACATAGATGGATAATAAGTGAAATCCCTGTACTCATCACCCATTAGGTGTTCAGTCAACAAGGCTATACATACATTTTTATTTAGCTAGAATATTAAGGCAGAGGGAGTTTCAGCTCATTTTGAAAGCTTTGTCTAAATGGAATCAAGCACCAACTAAAGGCTGAAATAGAATTATAAAAGAAGAATAAATTATGCTAGTTTGTGCCAACATGTATTCTTGGATCAAGTCACAAGCCAGATGAATGGCCATAAGGCAGCAAAATCAAACCTCTCCAAGAACATTTATGATCAACGAGGAAGTGGAGGACATCTATTTAATAATACCTAGTTAATAAAATAATTTCTACATGTATGGCAACAAATGAATAGCATGAATGAATAGCAGGAATCAAAGTTTACATATACCTGTGCTTGTTTTGGCTTCTTTTATGGAATACTTATGCTTTGAATGGCCAATATCACACAGGACAAAAAGGGCTTTAGTTTCACTGCCACTGTAAACATAATGTGAAACACACAAGCTACGTTCTGCATCATATGCAAACTTTTGAATGGTATCTTTACCCTTTAATAGCAACTGAAGAACAGTTTAAAAATGGGAAGGTAATACCCTAGTAGTGCTACTGAGCATCTTAATAGTTTGAGTTTTTCAGTATTCATTCATTTAGGAAAAACAAGCAAATTATCCATATGTTATACACACCCTAAATAATACACATATGCTACAATTTATTTTTTAAATGTACTACATTTTGAAATAAGATATAATCTCCTCTAATGCTGTTCTTCACACAGTTGGTTATTACACTCCCTTTGACCTTAACAAATGTGGAGGAATCACTGCAGGTAATTGTGTTGCTGATTAAAAAGTACACTGTTAAAGCAGCTACTCAATTTGTATAAACTGTTGCTAAACTGCATTGATCAATGGTCCATGATACATGGATATAGTAGTTCAGAAGTCAAATGTATTAAACTTTGGGCATGCTCAACAGTCCTCTTAAAAGACTGATTTGCAGCCTCTTTACTGGAGAGAAGTCAGAATACATCCAGGTGACAGCTTTCATGGAGCTATAGCACCACACTGAATCCAAGAAAATAAAAAGAAATTCAAATGTCCTCCACTGAGAGCCTGTGCTGGTGGTAAGGATGCGTGCAGAATGCAGTCAAGGTGAGTTGCAAGTCTGATTTTAGGATGGTTTTTTCGAAGATTTGTTTGCAGTTGCCTCAGTGATGCATGAAGAGGTGTAGAGTCAGCCTGCCGAGACGTCCTCCTCTGGACTTCTGAATGCCTTGTCCAGCTTTAACGCGTAGGAACAAAGTCTCGTCCGTTGAAAGGCAGCGTGCAAGTTTATGGTTTGGAAAATGCATCCCTGCCCCTCATCAAAGCATGAGAGCAATAAAGTGAAAAAGGACAAACAGGGAAAAAAGGCTGTATGGAGAAAAAGGAAACTGCCAGCTGTCCCAGACAGCCATTTAAAACAATGCCCTGGACAGCATCTAACCAAAACCCCAATCAGGATTTTGCCATACACCACCAAAGACTGAATACCATTGCTCATGTTTGCCTAGAAACCACTGATTTGAAATTCCTACCTCGCCTGTTCAAGTAGGGTTTGCTGTAATCCCAGCTATCATTATCGTTCCGAATAACATTGAGACGTGTAGGCTGCACACAATGAAAGAGACAATCAATATTACGTCTAATGAGAAAACAAAGATACATGCAACTAGAGCAAGACTTACCCTGGCATATTCTATTTTCAGTGTGCAACATCCAGCATAAATGTCTGCGCCATTTAATGCAGCTTTAGCCTTCTGGGCACTGTGCACGGTGTCAAATGTTCATTGTTGTTAAGGAATCTGGCATTCAAACAGGCAGGTAGGTGCATATGAATCTCTATAATAATGTGAAATCAATACCCATACATTTATAGCTCATCTCTGGACATGAAAATCCCTTCCTTCCATCTCTTACCAATTTTTAATACCTTGAGAAGCTTTTGCTTTTATCCTTACCTCTGCTAGTTGTGTACCTTGTGTATGGTGCACCTTCTGGGAGGCATAGCACTGGCTGCTTGTAGCAAGTTCTGTATTTGTCTTAACGCAAGAATAATTACTTTAGGCCTGCCAGAGATGGTCTGAAAATTAAAAAAAAGAAAGGAACATTCTCTGCAGGGAAAAAGCTTCTGTTAGTATTTTCTAGAATGTCAAAAAGGGATGGAATCAAAGGGCTTACCTTTTTAATGGGTTAATAACCGGATGAGAAATAGACTTTCCTGGGGTCATTTTCCTGGTTGATTTGTATGAGTCATGCAAGGATTGTGAAAGCTTGGAAGGCATGTGGTTTACCCTCTCATCCTATCATCTCACCTTCACCAAGGCATTCAGGTCAAAACACAAAAAAAAGCAAAAAACAAAACCCCATACCAATTCATAGTATAGTGCATAGTTTCTGCACCAGACCAATGAGCAACTCACCACACGCGCACACACAGAAAATTACACACATTACCTAGCATGGCTGTTCCTGGACTAGTAGACAACGGGAACATGTATCAACAGGTAGAATGGAAATCTAGTTTGTGCCCCCTGAAAAAAACACACCTCCCATACCTAGGCATCTGGGATACTGTCTGTGCAAGTGTCTACAAACGCTAACAGTTACCCCTGACCCTATGGAAAGTGGGGGTGCCCCTAAAGCTAAAGAGAACACAAATAGAATACCTCCATATACACAATGCTATACCCACAATTGATCCAGAGGAAGGCGAAAAAAAAAAATATCCCATGGTAAAGAATGATCCAATTTGCTCCAGCGGGGGAAAATTTCCTAAGGGGCTATTGGATATTCCCAGAATTAACTAAAACCCTGTTGCTAATGCCTATGAATATAAGTATACAGTTATTTTTTGTGAATATTTTTAAAACAATCTACGGAGCAGGCGAGAGCCAGCTCTTGAGAGAGTCTATTCCACATTTTCAGTTCTAACTGTGAAGAAACTACTCCAATATTTGGAGGTAAATCTCTTTTCCTCCAGATGCAAAGAGTGCCCCTTTGTCCTTTGTGATGACAGTAAAGTGAATAAGACCACTAACACCAAGTTCACACTATGGACCACCTAGGTATTTATACATGCAATCTCTGGTGTTTATTTGTCCGATAAGAATTACTAAAATAACAGGACTTGTTATTACAGAGGTTGCAATATAGAAAGCAGATACTAGATATTGCTGGTCTAAACATATGAAAAGCATAAACCACTAAGAAGAAAAGAAAAAGCACACAAATACACATAAAATAGCAATAATTAGCATGCAACAGAGGACTGTGTCCTGTAATGTACTTCAAGAAAGTTATTTTATAGGTCAGAGAAAAAAAAATATATGCATTAAAGTACACAAGAAATATTCAGAAATGCAGGGATGTTCCCAAGTAAGAGACTGCGGCTGCCATCAGATTAGACCAAAACCTCTACCTGGTAAAACCTAAAAAAAGTGTGTGTGTACAGACCGGAAACCAGGTTGTTCCCTGCGGGGATTTCAATGACAAAGAAGGAGCCAGATCACCTAAATGAAGCTGTAGCAAAAAAGTTAGCCTCTAATAATGCGTACAGCATCCAAACAATGGAGCAAGACCTCCTTAGGGCCGAGAGGAGCAGGTATTTGAGAAGACAGGATAATGTCCTGATTAGGGAGGAAGGGAGAAACCACCTTGGGAAAGAAGGAGACATTGGGTCTCAAAACAATTTTAACTATATGCAGCACAAGGAAGAGTTTCCTTACAGGTTAACCCCTTCCCACCAAGGGTATGCATACATGCGGCCTCAAGAAAGTGGGTCATTATCCTTAGGGCCACCTATATGTGCAACTGCGTTTGTGGTGAAAGCACACTGCACAAGGATAGGGACAGTCCAGGGACTTCTCCTATCCTTGTGTGCAAACCAGGAGTGGTTAAATGCCTCAAGGAAGGTGGAGACATTATTCTATTCAGTCACTTTGTTCACAACTAATAAATATGGCAAGAGGAGCTAAGAGTGGAGTGCGGCTTTGTTAATAATAGTAATAAATCAAGGAGATATCCATTACTACTACCACCAAATGAAAATCTGAATTTGTTCCGAACCCCCCCCCCCCTTCCTAAAAAAAAAAAAAAAAAAAAAGTTTAATTCACCTGAAGGGGTTAAAAGAAGAGCCATCATACTAAATACCCCACAGGCCCCTGTGTAAATAGCACTTGTCCTTATCCAAGCAGTGGAGGTTAAATTAAATAAATCTGACTGTAAATCCAACAAACTTTTCCCAACCAGCCAAAAGTGTCAAACAAAGTTAGAGTGATGCAGCAGGTTACGGGATTTAGCCCCATCTGGGATAATACACAATATCGGGAACTGGCACTTTTACAATATAGCACCAAATGGAAACACTACGATATTACCCATCCATCTCATTTTTCACAATGGAGGGCTGCGCCATTTTCCAGAACTTCAGTCACAATGCCAACTGCCCGCCACCCCCTATGCAATTCTACTGTTTACAACTCCAACATGCTGTGAGGCCTCAACAAGGTACGGACATCTGGGTGCCATCTTCCACTCCTATCTTTAATTTTATGTATGATGTGACTTCATATAAAGAAGGCGTTTATCTCACACACCTACGCTATGCTGTAGAATATCTTTCTTAATGATTACCCCTTTACAGTGGTCACCCACTGGGAACAAGATGTTGGACAGCTGAAGGGAGAACAGTGGGAAGAAGCCCTGTTGGCAGTTTAGCAGTCCTCCCTAAATGTAGCGCAACGCCTTTCCCAGCTATATCTACTTTTCAGGGTCCACTTTACACCTGCTGGGCTTTTTCATATGGGTGTGTGAGCCAATCCCATTTGCACTTGCTGTAGAGATCATGGAGATTTAATACACATGCTATGGAGATACCCAAAGTTATTCGCTATTGGACTGAGGTTATAATCACCATTATTAGGGTTTTCAAGGTGCAGGTACCAGAGGACCCCAAATATTGTCTTTTGGGTATTTTAGGTGATCTCCCAATTGAGGATATCCTCAAACAGGTCATAGTTAGAGCCCTTTTCAAGCCTATAAATTGACCTTGAGACACTGGGTAGCTACAGATCCTCCCACGTTGAAAGAGTGGATCTCCCGAATGGGGAAAACTATTAGGCTTGAAAAATATATTTATCAGCATACAAGTTGTAGCGGTAAATTTGACAGACTCTGGGACCCATGGTTAGATGTCCCAGACTTAGCCCCAGTTGACTTTGTTCTGGGTAATGTAGTGCTTTGAATGTGCTGTTATTACCTTTTGGTTGCTTGCCTATGAGTGATACTGTACATTGACATAACATATGTGCATTCCAATTACTGTATTCTATAGTTGGCTAATATCGCCTTTGAGTGTGTAGATGATACGCCAAATTGTACGCTGCTGTCTAGAATGTGCAATGTACAGTGCTCTGGTTTTTGTATAATTTCTTCTTTGTTTAATAAAGCCTTTTATTGAGGAAAAATAAAATAAATCTGACTGTAGTTTCCCCCACCGCTGAAGTCCAAAACTATGGGCATTACTTCTGTCAGCTTGTGCTGTGAATGACTGCAGCTGCAGAAAAGGGCAAAAACACAAGCTAACAACAGCACACACTGGCTGCTATGCTTATTTGAGACAGCCTAATTGGTTTGTGCCATTTTTGTGACTAAAAGCCCTCCTCTCCATCTGCAATCAATCAGTCACAATACAAGCTGTCAGTTTCCACTCTCTGTGTCTTGATTAGTTTACATGGAGTCTGGAGATGTAGTCTGCTAAATAGGACAAATGAGGAGACAGCACAGCAGAGCAAAGTTCTGTCTGGCATTTTAGGAGGAGGGAGGATGGTGCACTCTGTGTGCAGTGGCTGTCTTGCCCGCTCTCCTCCTGAGCGGTCACTTACAAGTTTAACAACATTTTATTTGTATTTTAGTTCTTTTTTAAAGCAGTTGTAAAGGCTGAAGGTTTTTTACCTTCATGCATTCTATGCAGCTTTGTTAATAAATAGTAATAAATCAAGAGATATCCAGTTTGAAGCAAGTGGTCCTTGAAAGAATAACCAGGCCCAAAATCTTTCCCTTGATGGTACTCAAGGCTATCTGCTGATCCAGTCCTGGCTAAAGAAAAAATGTAAAGAAGAATATGACCCACAGGGCATTTTCTAGGATGTAAATGCCTAGCTAGACACAATAAAAAGTACAATAAAAAAATAAAATAAAATGTACTTTCAAGTACAATGGTAGACGTTAAGAAAATAACTGAAGCAGACAGGCCTCTAAGCTTTAGGCCCTAGGATTCAACAGCTAAGCCATTAGAGTCCGTGACCCTGAAGCAGGATGGTAAACCTTCCCCAAGGATAGTGGGTGAGAACAAGCAAGAAAGACTCATTGAAAGACTGATGAAAATTTTACAATTTCAAAAGTAACACGTCCAGCTGGACCACAACGAATCACTGGAATACACCCGGTTATAATCCTGTGACTTTTGGTTACCCTCTGGTGGTTGGTGTAGACCACTGTTGTGGCACTGTCCGACTGAATCCTGATTGGATGACTCCATAATTGAAAGGTTTAACCAATCGTACTGAGTACCAGGATTATCTTGGGGAAAGGAGCTTACTCCAGCTAATAAGGCCCTTAAACTGACAGAGTCTAGGACCGTTCCTCTTTAGCCTGATAGGATGGTATCCCCTTGTTATGACCTTCCAGAAGAGGGGAATGAAAGACTTTACAGACTCCAAGGCTGGGCTTGTGACCTACCATGCCACAGCAAGATGGATGCAGGTGAACACACTGGTCGTGAGACTAATATTTCTTGCCCAACACCATACCAGAATAGTGAGTGGCAACTGTCGAACTAAATTGGGTGCAAGGTTTGCCTTGAAGGAAGCAAACAATAGGCTCAGTACACTCATGCAGAAACAAAATGGTTGTTTGGCTCCACAACTGAAGTGACTATACATAGGTGCAAATGGTAGTGATCTTCTCCTGTGGAAGGAAGGCTCTGAACCAGGAAGGTGCTCAGAGCTAAGATAATAGATCTACCACCTAAGACACTTGCAAAAAACTGAAGGCATGCTAGGAGTGGGAAAAGTTATGCAGGACTGTTCTTTGCTTGTGTCCAATCTCCTAAAGATGGCAGCATAACCCTACATTTCTGAATACCTCCTATGTGCTGTAATGTACGATAAAGAAAATAACCTTGGGGGGAAAGAAAAAAAAAAAAAAAGGGACAAATGGCTAGTACAAAATGGTTAAACTTTTCTCAGAGATAAGGTGTAAATATCTGGACACTAGCAAAAAATGAGGCATGCTGAAAATGGGAGGGGCAGGTCAGCCTGGGCAAGTTTTCTTTTGTTGCCGGAATCTTGTGTGCCTCAATGAACCAGAGGGAAAGCTTATCCCATCGTGATTCTTTCTAAAAACTTATACCAATGAAGTCTCTATGAAAACAAACCTTGTTCAAATTCTGTGTGTTTCTAAAAATTAAAAAAAGGATATTCCACCATGGCTTGAATCCCATTTCTCTTAAAAATTACTATACGCTCCACTTTTCCTACTGGGTTGCAGACTGAGTACAAGACATCCTATAGAAAAGGAATAAGATTATTTTATAGTCATGAAAAGAAGAACATCAATAGATGCACAACATTACGTACATTAAATTAATAAAAACGGTATAGTTTTAAAGTATAACTGAATAGAGTGGAGTGGGATATCCTCTCATTTCCTGTTGTCGATAGGATAGGAGCTGAAGAGAAATCTCCCCAAAAGGGCACAGGTGGCAAAAGAGAAAAAAAAAACACAACAAAAAGGTTATGGACATTCCCTTACTCTATACAAAAAAAACAAAAAACAAATTATTGTGTAGAACAGTCATCTCAAAATCTACATTAAAAACATGCAAAATGGTGTAGATTAAAGTGGTAATCCAGAAAAAAAACTATATATATTGCTTAACCTGACACAGGAATTATTTTTTTTCATTAATTCAGTTAATTTATTGTAATTTATACTGTATACCTTTGTTACACTTCATAGCTTGACAGATGACACATAATGAGAAAGTGGTAAAGCTGGCCCAGGCAGAAGCAATACTGAAGTAGGTATTAATCCTACTATGCAGTGTTGAAAAGGTGTCTAAGGCTAGATTCACACCAACGTCTGTTCCTATGAAAAGTGTCACGACCCCATCGACTTCAACAGGCGAGTTTGGCAAGCATGTACCACTCTGACTGCTGAGTTAAAATTGCCATACTGCAATGTGAAGCACCAGAGTCGCCATGTTCTTTGGCAGGTAACCCAGTCCAAGGTAAATGTACCTGATTTGTGTTGGTCTCTTGGTTGTCTGGAGGCTGACCCAGGGATGTTGAATTTATATTGCCCGACGCCCAGGACACTTAGTTCCGGGCAGGTAGTTTTTTTAAACTTTGGCCTTGCTATGGGCAAGCAGCAGGGCTCATCTGTCAGGTGAAAGGAGGATTCGGGCACGTCTGCTCCCCTCCCCTTCTTGTCCTGACCCGGAAGCTGATGTCTCATAACGGGTCCCTGTTGAATGATTTCCCAGCCATCGAGGATGGGAAAGAATGTAATGCAGTGCGATGTGCACTGCATTACATTCAGTGGAGTACAAGGGGAGACATGCAGGGTCTTTTAGAGCTTGGATGTCTCAATAAACAGAACCTGTTTTTTTTCTTTTTAAATTGTAAAAAATTAAAGTTACAGCTAAGCACATAACATCCCCTCAAAAACAAAACTAAAAAAAAAAAAAAAAAAAAAAAAAAAAAAAAAAAAAAAAAATCGAGGAAAACGTCGATTGCAATACACATGATGAATATCACCCCACATGCCAGCATATAGCAATAATTGTAGCACGAGGCATCCTCCATAGCACTGTACTGATGACCTATAAGGGCCTTTAAAAGTGTTACCTATATAAAATATAGGGTACTTACGTTTGTCGCCATTTCACGAGCGTGCGCAAATTTAAGGTTTGACATGTTGGATTATCCATTTACTCGGTGCAACCTCATCTTTTATATTTTACAAAAAAAAATAGGGTAATTTATTGCTTTTTGTGCCCTAAAATTAACTTAAGTGTATTTTTACTGAAATTTTGCATTTCCTAGACCTTTGTGATAATATCGTGTGACATAAAAAATTGGAACTACAGTTATTTTATTCTCTAGAATCTCTGATTTCAGAAAATATATAATGTTTTGGAGTTTTGTGTAATCTTCAGGCCTAAAATGATTTCTTAAACTTGTGCAAAAAACGGCTCTGGCAGCAAAAGGGATAAAAGGATAAGCTCGACACTCCCCTTTTGCTGAGGAGGGCCCAATAGGTGCCCATTACACTGCAAGGTCTTTCCCCTCCCTGCCAGTCCCCAGATGCAGTGCTGGAGGTAGGCAGGAAGGGGAGGAGGAGATTAAACAGCGTGTAAATGTTAAAAATATTAAACGTTCAAAAAAACCATAAATCTCCTTTTGTTTTTAAAAGCCCCAGACATTCCTAGAAAGAACCTCAGATTTAAATACAATTTTGGGAAAAAAATTTTTTTTTTGTTATCTGGACAAGTAGATCGTCATGAGGGACAAGTGGATTGAAACTCCAATTTAGTCCCTGGACAAGTAGTTTTTTTCAAAAATTTCAACACCCCAGTTGACCCCGATGCCGATTTACTACTAAACAATAAAACAAACAATGGACTTAAGGCTCAGAGTAGCATGTTGGAAAAAAAAATACACCAGTTCTCACACTAAGCCTAATCAATGCATGAAAGCAGACTTACGACAGTGATTGGATATAGGGGATTCTGAATTGATAGCAGAAGAACTTTATTTCCCCCAGAAGGATCTTCAGTGTTTGCTGGCCGTGTGATACGCTTGCTTGTGGAATAATTGAAGTAGGCTTGCTGTCCTGCTATATACACAGGCTCGGAGGTAGCAAATGTAACACATTTCTTCGAAAACTCCGTATTTTCAAATTCGACCAAGGCTTGACGCTTAAAGGGCATCATCATCACATAACTGCATAGAAAAGAAAAAAGGTTCGTTTGTTAGTTAACCATATCACATTTGGTAGCAAAATGAAGATTATATTATACTGTATATTTAAAAAGAAGCTTCTATTTAGATGTGTGCACCACAGCAAAAATTAAAAATTGAGAAATTGTGGAACCCCTACTGTTCAAGCAGCTATCTGATTGATAATTCAACAGCAACCATTCATATACAAAACACAAACAAAAAAACCCAACAAAAACTAGACAGCGCTATTTGAACTATCGCTTTAAATCAGTTCACAATGTCAGGTGCATAGGCATTTTCTACTCATTTGTATCTTTAAAGAGGAAGAGAAGCAACACTGTTATTACTCTGATATCTTATGCATATCTAGATCCTAAAGTGTCAGGTGCATAGACACTTTCTATGAAACAATATGTGAAAAATCTGAAAAACTATGAAATAAAAATAAAAGTGCATGTGTATATAAAATCAATGTATCCATTACCCACTAAAATGGGATCACTGTGGGGGGTGTGGTCTCGGCATGGCTGCATGAAGACATGCTTCACCAGAGCTCTGGCCGGCGGCTTCTCCATAGCTTACCAGCAGCAGACACCCCACATTGTGAGCCTTCTCCGGCGCCTCCCAGACAGTAAACAGCGTGTCCCCGGGCCAAATCCACTGACATGGAGCACTATCTGAGACCGCTTCAGCCGGCGGTCTCCACTCCGGACCCAACCAAGATTGCGCCTACCCGCCCCCTGTGACTCCAGTGGCGGCTGCGGCCTCGATCCTAGCGGAGTGGGCTACACAGCAGGACAACACACATCTAATGCCTTTTCACACCACCGAGTGATCTCTCCCCCTATCTCCCTTGCTCACTCTCCCTGACACCTAACAGGGATCTGTGCACACACAGCCCGGCCCTACATGGCTCTGCAGTGGACCCCACTTCTCCAGGGGACTACAGCCTCAGAATCTGCCCAGATGGATCCAGGTCTATCTTCTCCGGACACTGCGAGTACCTTAATGCCCCCTATATTTGACATACAGCCCATGACAGCTTCACCCACAAAACAGACACTGTGGTCTCTCCAGCAGCTGCCCACTAGGGCTGATTTTGAGACACTTGCAAGTAGGGTGGAGAATGCTCTGAGGGGGGAGGTACAGGGAATTAAAACAGGAGGTATCTGCTCTGGACTCTCGGTTGTTGGTGATAGAACCAGAACGTAGCACTACATCCCACTCCATCCAGACCCTGCAATCCTCACAGAAAAACCTTTCAGAGCAAATTGTTCATCTCCAACTATTACTTGAATCACAACCGATGAGAAAACATCCGACTCCGAGGGAACACCTCAGGGAGAGCTCCGCTCTACAGTAATGGCCATTTTCAACAGATACTTAGACCGTCCACAGGATATGTATATTATCATCGACAGAGTCCACAGGACCCTTGGGGCTAAACCCCCCCCCCCCCCCCCCACCTGACAGGCCACGAGATGTGTTGTGCCGTTTATTCTTACGGCCTCAAGGAGGAGATATTACAACAAGCTTGGCAATAGGTGTCTTAGAATTTGATAACGCAGTCGGACATCTCCTGTCAATGTTTCGAGACGGACTCTGTTAATGTGCAAGTTGCTCAAACATTTACTTGAACGGCTTGGTGAATCAGGTCTAACCTACAAATGGGGCCACCCATTCCATGTGATCGTGAGGAGGGGGAATCGTACGTTCTCCCTCCGTCAACCTTCTGAGCTACCTGATCTTTTCACTTTTGCAGAAATGGCCTTGATCCATGTGCCAAACTGGCTGACCGTTGCTGCCTCGCCAGATCCTCCACCAAGAGTTCTGATGAGCCAACCCCAAAAGGGAAAGATCCAACTGGCGTTACCATAGAGGAAGACAAAAACGGACCTCTCAACAAAATGCATCATGAAAATTTAGTCTCACACATGGCCTTTCAGCATAGTTCCTCTCGAGACTACTACAGCAGTTATTCTTGTGGCACTGACAGCCCTCCAGTCCCTCTTCACTGTTGGACCCGATACAGGGCCCTCCAACCATCCTAGATGAACACAGTTCAATCCTAGCAGGACCCTAAACACGTCTCCTTATGGAGTAAGCACAGTATGAAGGTGATACAACTACCCTGGATAGTCCCTCCCTAAGGGGCCTGACAGGAGACAGGGAACACCCTCCTTTTACATATGCTATGTCTACAGAGCTACAGTAACTTATTTGACCCATGTTATTAACATATAACTTTTCCTATAGCCGCAGGAATGATGGCAGTGACGTCTACTGGGGATGCTGTCTATCCTTCATGGCCTTATGTTTCTGATTATAATTAACATCACTTTTTGATATGACATACAGTAAGTGTGCTTATGATTGACTTGCCCTTACTCATTCCCTTCCCTTCTAACCCCCCCCCCCTTATCCCTCCCTACCCTTTCCTCCCCCCTTAGGGTTGTTTCCCTATTATACTAAAGTTACCTGAATACCATACCTTTCCTTGGAAGACAGATTTGTTTACATGTTGATACGTTTTCATTTTACGGTTTATGTTTGTTGGATTAGCTACCGGCATGTTTGTTAGTTTTCCTACTGGGACGGCCTAGCCTGGCCCACTAAGATCTCCCATTTGTGCTGTGTAGTCTTGTATGGCCGGGGTTCTGTATCTAGTAGTGCCTTACCACTCTAGGCTCTCTCTGCTCTGGTGCCGGTAGAATTTCTCTGTAGAGATTACATTGTAGGTTCTCTCTTTCCTGATATCTTACTCTTTTCCTTTTGGTCTGCTTCTTTTATGTTTTTTTTGTCACCCTATGGAAGGAGGGTTGACGTATTGTGACAAGTGCCACCATAGCATTGAAGAGCCTCTCCTGGAACATTAAGGGCTTGAATTCTCCAGAGAAACAGACGAGCCATTTGGCGGAATTCTGGAAGCATAGAGCGCACGTAATTTTCCTCCAGAAAACTCAATTTAAAATAAACAAGATTCTCAAACTATACAACAAACACTTCCCAACAGTCTATCATAGTCCGTCTTCATCCTCTAAATCCAAGGGTACCAGCATTTTAATATCGAACTCCCATCCCTGGCAACTCCATGTCCGCACGGACCATGAGGGCAGGTTCCTACTGCTTAAAAAAATACTTATCTTATATTCAGGTTTATGGTACAATCGTTACCCCACCAATTTAATTTAATTTGGCCTCTGTAAAAACCCATTTAAGAACCACCAACTTAATGGCAGCATCTGTACGAAGAGACATATTTCGAAACCCTATTTTTATTAAATGATTCCTAATAGTGGAACATTTCAAAAGGAACCAGAGTAGTAACGATAAAGGGAAACTCTACTTCACATATAAATTCTTAAAAGGAATAAAACCTGTAAAACTAAACAAAAAAAAAAAAAATAGGCAAGAATTTAAAAAAATTGTAAAAAAATTTAATAAAATTTAGTTAGAAAACAATTCAAACCAATTTCTATAATTTAACACTTCTGGATGCAAAAATGTCCATCTCTAACTATCCACTTTGTTTCTTTCTGTGAAACATCTTTCTCCATGTCTTTTCCTCTCCAATTGGTATCCACCTTCTCAATACCCAAGAAGGTTAACAGACTAGGATCTTTGTTGTGTTTTATTTTAAAGTATTTAGACACGCTATGTTTTTCATAACTGTTCATATTATTTATGTGCTCTCCTATTCTGGTCTTTAAATTTCTTTGTCATCCTTTCAATATACTGTTTTTTTGCTGGGACATTCCAATAAATATACCACATGGGATGAGTCACAAGTAAGTAGTTGTTTAACCAATTCAATACCGGGCAATTTTTTTACCCCTTCCTGCCCAGGCCAGTTTTCAGCGCTCTCACACTTTGAATGACAATTGCGTGGTCATACAACATTGTACCCAAACTAAAATTTTATCATTTTCTTCACACAACTAGAGCTTTCTTTTGGTGGTATTTAATCACCGCTGGGGTTTTTATTTTTTGCTAAATTAACAAAAAAATACCAAAAATTAAAAAAAAAAAAAAACATTTTTCTTTGTTTCGGTTATAAAAGTTTGCAAATAAATAATTGTTCTTCATAAATTTAGGCCAAGATGTATTCTGCTACATGTCTTTGGTGAAAATAACCCAAATTAGGATTTATTTTTTAGTTTGTAGGAAAGTTATAGAGTTCACAAACTATGGTATAGATCTGAATATTGATCAATCCTGAACTACTGACAGCCAATCTAATTTCTTGAGGTCCAAGAATGTCAGAACAGTACAGATATCCCCAAAATGACCCCTTTTTGCAAAGTAGACAGTCCGACATACTTCATAAGAGGCATGGCGAGTTTTTTGAAGTTGTATTTTTTTTGTCATTTTTTGGAAAATTAAAAAATTTTAAAAATTTGTTTCACTATTTTTTTTTTACATACTGTCACCAGTACAGTACAGCGTCATCATATAACTGGCATGGCGGTGATCAGGGACACTGACTGGTGACAGTATGAAAAAAAAAAATAAAAATTATATATACAGTTGCAAGAAAAAGTATGTGAACCCCTTGGGATTCCGTGGAGTTTTGCATGAATTGGGCATAAAATGTGCTCTGAACGTCATCTAAGTCACAACAATAGAAGAACACAGTCTGCTGAACATAATACTACACAAACATTAGATGTTGCCATGGTTTAATTGCATATAACATGTAAACATTCACAGTGCAGGGGGGAAAAAGTATGTGCGGCCCTAGCTTAATGACTTCTCCCAGAGATAATTGGAGCCAGGAGTGAGCCAACCTTGACTCTAATCAGTGTGATGATATTGGATGTGTTGCTGACAGCTGTCCTGCCCTTAAAAAACACACACCTTTTTTGGGTTTACTGGTTTCAAGAAGCACTGTCTGATGTGAACCATGCCTCGCAGAAAAGAGCTCTTAGAAGACCTACGATCAAGAATTGTTGACTTGCATGAAGCTGGAAAGGGTTACAAAAGTATCTCCAAAAGCGTTG